ACTTTACAAACAAATTGTGGGCAGTTTGATGTATCTAACTGCAACAAAACCAGACATAATGTATTCTGTGAGTTTAATCAGTAGATATATGGAGAATCCTACAGAAATGCATTTGTTGGCTGCCAAGAGAATCCTTCGTTACTTGCAAGGAACTAGAGACTTTGGGCTATTTTACAAGAAGGGTGAAAAGTCCAATTTGTTGGGGTTTACTAACAGTGATTATGCAGGAGATCAAAATGATAGGAAGAGCACTTCGGGTTATGCTTTTATGTTTGGGACAGGTGCTATTTCGTGGTCATCCAAGAAGCAACCAATTGTCACCTTGTCAAGTACAGAAGCTGAATTCGTTGCTGCTACAGCTTGTGCTTGTCAAGCTATTTGGCTAAGGAGAATTCTTGAGGAGTTGCAATTCAAGCAACCAGGAGCTACTAAAATTTTTTGTGACAACAGCTCAGCAATCAAACTCTCCAAGAATCCTGTGCTACATGGAAGAAGCAAGCACATTGATGTGAAGTTTTATTTCTCGAGAGATCTTAGCAATGATGGAACAATTGATCTAATCTACTGCCGGAGTGAAGATCAGGTTGCTGATATATTCACCAAGGCCCTCAAGATGGAGTCGTTTGTGAAGCTCAGAAGGTTACTAGGTGTCCGCACGCTGAAAACAGTCAAGGCTTTAAACTGAATGTTAGCAAACATCAGTTTAAGGGAGGGATTGTTGAAATAATAGTTATTTTCTGCACGTTTAGCTGATGATTTGTTTCTTAGTTGTCCTAGTCTTTAGGAGTTAGTTGTCCTAGTCTTTAGGAGTTAGTTGTCCTAATTGGTTTATGCAGATCATGGGTGGTTATGGTCCTATTTTTTGGTGGTGTTTCTGTCATGTATTGCCTATTTTTAAAGACTTAAAAAATTCTGAATGAACAGAGAGCCTTGGCCTCGTCTCTCCTCTTCTTTAGATTTTTTCACACTTCAGTTTTTTATTGTTCTTGAGTCTTCACTTGTGCGATGCCAAGACAAAGTCATAGACTCATAGGTTGGATCTAACCAGCTTTACGGGCCAGAGATCAGGACAACCTCGTAACGAGCAAGAAGAATCCAAGTATCGCGAATCTTGAAACAACCATTTCGCTGAAACTCACTCAGCAGTTTCACCTCCACATCCACACAGTTTAGCTTTCATTTCCACGAAGATGGACAGGACGTCGAGCTGGAACAGAGTGACGGACGATGATTACATGCATGCGCCGCCGGTGGCATCAACGATCCTGAGGATGGGATCGTTCCAGGGCGACGACCTGCCTGCTTACGACCCGGTGTCGGAGGTGACAAGGAAGGAGAAAACACGGAACAAGCTCGCCGAGAACGGCGTCCACATAATACCTCTCGTATTGCTGGTGTGAGCAGCCATTCTCTGGTTCTTTTCCAATCCAGGTACAAGAAAACTAGGAACTTCACACACCCATTGAAGCAGTAAACTTTAGCTTTACAGTTCTCTTGATTGTTTTTCTTTGTGTGTGTGTGTGTGTGTGTGTTGGACAGAAATAGTGGATGCGGGAAGTAGAAGGGACTCTATAGCGGCGAGGATCAAAGGGTTGACGGTCGAGGGAGACATCGACAAGGAGATTGATGGGACCCAATCTGGGCTATTGCCCTCCCTTGATTTGGGCGATGCCGACTCGTCTTCATCATCGACCTCAACCTCAACCTCGAGGCATCCACAAGATCGCATTCACCACCGGGGCAAGCGTTCCAGGAAATCCCACCACCGAGTCGTGGGTCGTGTTCTTGCTGAATTGTTGGAGAGCTTCAGTTTGGCGGCATTGCAATGGTAATGTCTGGTTCAACAGGAAGTGTTAATTCGTGCGTTAGTGCTGGTGTTGATGTTGCGATGTCTGTGTGGACGTGAGTTTACGCATGTCATGAAAGAGCGACTCTCGCATTCCTTGTTGGTTTATGTGAAGACGCACAAAAGTATTCGTACGATTGGGACTTGCTTGAACACAGTCTAATCCATAGAGATAGTGATGGTTAAACTAGTGACTAAGCAAGATTGATGAATTAAAAGCAATTTCCTTTTTTCCAATTCGACTCGATGGTTAGAGTTTTTCTTTCACGGTCTGATCTCACATTGCCTGCTAACAAAGACTCGCGATCGTAACCAAAGAGATCAACAAAAGCCCTTACAAAAACCTTCGTCGAAAACACTAGTTGCGACGGCAAGCATCATAGCACTTCAGCCAAATATTCAAATGTGCTCTCGATGGGAGTCGCAATCAATTTGACACGATGAGAATGAGTTGAGCATGGGATCGCCTCAATTGTTCTTTTTCTTTTTTGATATGATAATTAAGTTAAAGTGTCATTTTGTAGGTATTTTATGCATTTTCAAGGCTTACAACTTTCTCTCACCATTTGTATGATGGGAAAATTACTCAATCAATCATAAACCTATTGTACATATGTCAAATTAGTTCTAAACTTTCCACTTTTGCCAATTTAGTCATAAATCTCTGTGCGAAATTCTATTGTAGTCATTTTGATCAATTTTCGTCGAAAATCGTTAACGTGGCGTTCCAGTCAACGCCGACTATTTTACGTGGCACATTGTCACGTCAACAATTTCCGGTAAATTGGCCGAAATGAGTATATTGGAATTTCTCACAAATATTTAAAAATCAATTGGTAAATTGAGAAAGATTGGGACTGAATTGACATTCGTGTAATAGGTTTAAGTTAATTGAGCAATTTCTTCCATATAATCCGATATCTATAATTTGAAGGATTGGCCAAATATCCAAATCAATGGTGACAGATGTGGACTGTGTAAAAGGAAGTCATTTTGAACAAATGAGAGCTTGTGCCATCCCAAGTGTGGCGTTGATCCCTAAAAATAGTCACACAAGTTCATTTATAATCACTGGCCGAAATAGAATTATAATGACGGGCAAAGCCCAGTATTGGATGGCCATTCGTGACGTATACTTTGAGCATGACTACCACACGGTGGTGGTACGACCCACTCGTCACCTACTGTGGTGACCTTCGCCAAGTCTCTTTTCTTCATTGCTCCGAGTGAATTTGTGGCTATGGAATTGAACGTAGGCAGGTGCTATGACTTAGGCAAACGACGAAAAGCATAGTTCCATTCAACTGTCAAAGAATCCACAGAGATTGCAGAATTAAGTCACTAGAATGTTCGGAGACCATCACAGTTTCTTTCAAAGAAAAGTGCCAGATTTATATTAATAATTGTGGATGACTATTCAAGAAAGACTTGTATTTATGTGCTGAGGCACAAGTTTAATGTTATTGTCAAGATTAAGCAGTTAAGAGCTTTGATTGAAAAGAGATTGGTAAGACGATCAAGCATATGCGGACTAACATTAGCATGGAGTTCTATTAAGAGCTATTAAACAATTTTTGCATGAATGAAGGCATAGTTAGACATCACAATAGTGCTAGTGAACCACAACTAGTTATAGAGTTGATGAGTAGAATATTACTAGAGACGGCTTGTAAAATGCTCTCTAGTGCTAGTATGGCTATAAGGTTCTTGGCTAATTCGCTTGGTACGGCGAGCTGCCTAGGAAATAGATCCCCCTTGATTGCGATTGAATGTCGTTGGACTCCCGAAATGTGGTCAAGTAACATTGCCAATTATTTAATTCATTGAATATTTAGTTGACCATGTTATGTTCGAGTGAATGATGGTAACCTCAATGGAAAGGCAAGAAAGTGCAAGGTGAGCAAGGCTACCGGTTAATGTGCCCACAATTGAATTTATGTAGTATCGCAGAGAAGTTACATTTGACAAGTTTCCAGTATTTCTGGATAGGAGTGATTATAGCAATGTTCATATGAATCTAGATAGTGTTCAGCTTAAGATGGAGTCGCAATTAGAAACTTGTTGTGACGCCCCAGAACGTCACGCGCAACACGTACCAATTAATATTATTAAAAAAATGGCCAGCGGAAGTCAAAGTCTGAACAAGTTTTGTCAAAAATACTATTGCTTCTCATTAACAACACTTGTGAGAATTACAAGTCCAAACAATACATCATAAAATCACAAAGAACAAACATCTGGGTAGGTCGAGGTTGCCTATCTCCATGCTACAATTTACTCCAAAGACGGCCCGCACAAAAGTAGACTTTACAACGAGTCATAGATGTCGTCGCCTTCATATCAACCAAAATCCCGCATCTACCCATATAGTAGATATACATCTAGTACAAACTATATCCGCTCTCGGGACAAGCATATCAACGTCCTGGCATTCATAGTATTTAGGGAAAAACCAGCAAGCATTGGTAGCAGGTTGTCCATTCCTACATGTCTGAAAAATAATGGGATGAGCCGAAGTCCAGTAAATGAAATCTCTAGTTTTAAGTTAGGAAAATCAGCTTACCACTTCACCTTGCATAAACACATATGCATGCATAGCAAACAATATGCATAGAACTTGAATGCAAGTTATACCTTTTCCGTATGGATGTGCCGCAAAATCTGAATAATGCAACATATCATAATATTTTCACTCAGACGCAAGCATGATGTAAAACATTTATGCTCATGTGATTAGGTTCATTACTTCATCCTCCCAAACACTCCCGGGGCATCCCGACCAACGAGGCATCGCAACTCCGAGGCATCCCGGCACACACCCGGGGCATCCCGACCGACGGGGCATCCCGACTCCCGAGGCATCCTGAAACACTCCCCGGGGCATCCCGACCTACGGGACATCCCGACACACGGGGCATCGTCACACACCACTAAATGGGCGATGAAATTAATATTATTCTCATGCAAGTCATGACAACCAAGTATTTGCATGCATAAATCCGCTTTGGTCCGTCCCATACCGAGCCATCACGGTTTTTGTACTTTAAAGCCATGAAATACATCATCTGAGCAATTAAATATGAAGCAATACATTTCAAACTCAGAAGCAAACTCAGCTCATAAGTAAATTTGGGTTCAGAAGCAAATTCGGTCATCAGAGGTAAGTTCGGATCATCAGAAGCAAAATCGGATTGGTCATCAGAAGAAAATTCGAGTCATCAGAAGCAAGTTCAGACTCAGAAGGAAGTTCAGAAGCAGAAGCGGATTCAGAATCAGAAGCGAATTCAGACTCAGAAGCGGGTTCAAACTCATAAGCGAATTCAGATTCAGAAGCGGGTTAAGACTCAGAAGCGAATTCAAACTCAAAAGCGAGTTTAGACTCAAAAGCGAATTCAGACTCAGAAGCGAATTTAGACTCAGAAGCGGGTTCAGACTCAGAAGCGGGTTCAGACTCAGAAGCGAATTCAGACTCGAGAAGCGGGTTCAGACTCGAAGCGAGTTCAGACTCACAAGGAAGTTCAGACTCACAAGGCTAAAGTCTGAAGGTAAAGTCTGAACGAAAAGTCTGAGCAGTAAAGTCTGGGCAATAAACTCTGAAATAAAGTCTGAGCGGTAAAGTACGAAGGTAAAGTCTGAGCGTAAGGTCTGAAGGTAAAGTCTTAACAGTTTAAAAAGTATACAGAACCAGATTTTTGACAGTAAAGTCTGAGCAGTTTCAAAGGTACACAAAACCAGATTTTGACAGTAAAGTCTAAGCAGTTTCAAAGATACACAAAACCAGATTTTGACAGTAAAGTCTAAGCAGTTTCAAAGATATACAGAATCATCATTCATACTCACATAATATACTCCACTTTCAGTAAAACGATTTTCTACCATTTTTAAATATACATAAACCAATAAGAAGAATCCAACAATTACCTCAAAGATAACACTTGCACGATCAGATTTAATCATTTCACTTGCCGATTTTCACCATACTTTAAGGAAACAAATCACATCCATTTGAACATGCACAGAACTAGCAAAACAGATTCAACCATCATCACAACCTCACTATTGCACATCAAAATAACCTTTCTCAAGCAACCAAGTTAAAAGTGTCAGTAGATTTACTTAGCTTAAACCTAGAGTTTTCACTTACCTTGTGCAGAATCTGAACACCCCAAAGGTTAAAACTCTTCCACAGATTTTTGGATTGGTGGTGGTGAGAGTAGAAAATGAAGGAGAGAGTGTAGGTTTGTGTGAAATTGTCTTCGGTAATTACCCAGACGAAGATGAAAACTGAAAAGTATACAAAGGGGTGGATAATTACAATGCACTCACAGGTGGCATCTTCTCTTTCCATCATGGCCAGGTGTAAGAAATCAGGAAAGGAGTAGTGGCCAAGGAAAATGATTACTTAGGCTAGGTGTCTAGCTCAAGGGGACAAATGGCATTCGGTCAACCTTTCCTTCAATAGTCACGTGAGAGAAGAAGAGTCCAGAAGAGATATTTTTGAGAGAATATCTCCCCCCTTTCCTTAACGGCAAATTAGAATAAAAGACTAACACTACTTAATCAAAATTAACCAATAATAATACCCACTAAATTCCCAAAACAACGGTAAATTAATTAATACCGTACTACGATTATCGCACACAACAACGTTTAAGATTTTAATTACGACGAGCTCGGGGCGATTACGTTTCCGAATCCGCGCTTCGCAATTTACAATCCAACAACGATTTTTACGCGTCCGCACGAATATTAACTTAAATAATACTTAGCTTTATAATCCAAATATCATCTTCGAACATAGAAAATTCCCAACGTCAATTACTTATTGTTACGAAATTTTCGGATGTCACACTTGTAGTGAGTACTAGCAAAGTAATCGACACAAATAGTGCTTGTAGCGAGGTGGAGCCTGTGAAGCCAATGGTTGCCGTGGCTACTGAGTTTGACAATGTGTGTGTTCAATCTCTTGACAAATATGGATGCAAAAATGATTTTACTCCAACTCTCCTCTCTCTCTCTCACTACAAAAAAAGCCGGGTTTTGCCACGAATTTTGCCACGAAAAATTGCGACAAAATTCATGGCAAAATGAATTTGCAACGGAAAAAAATTCGTCGCTAATAGGCCGTCGCAAAATTTTGCCACGGAAAATTCCAAATTTCGTGGCTAATTTGCGACGAATTTTTTTCGTCGCAAAATTCGTCGCTAATTATTCGTGGCAAAATTCGTGGCTATTTTTGCAACGAAAAATAATTCGTCGCAAAATTCGTCGCTCATTATTCGTGGCAAATATCCGTGGCTAATTTGCCACGAATAATATTCGTGGCAAATATCCGTGGCTAATTTGCCACGAATATTATTCGTGACAAGAATCCGTCGGTAATTTGCCACGAGATCTATTCGTGGCAAAAGTCGTCGCTATTATTTTGATTTATTTTTTGGTCGCGAAATTGCGACGAAATATTTTCATGGCAAAAAGTCGTTGCTAATTATCACGTGGCTAATAAATTTTTTTTTTTTCGACGAGTTTATTCGTGGCTAATTTGCCACAAAAAAATTCGTGGCTAATTTGCCACTGGAATTATTTGTGGCTAAAATTCGTGGCTAATTTGCCACTGGAATTATTCGTGGCTAATTTGCCCGACATTTTTTTTTTATCAGTATTTTGCCACGAAAAATTTTGACTATTGCAGCGCGGCCGACATTAATCGAAAACAAATTTGGCGACGAATTTTAATGAATACTTTAGCGACGAATGTTGTTTAGGAACGATTTCGATTTGAAATCTGATTAACATTGATAGAAAATCACAGTCAAGACAAGAACAAACCCCAAAAAGAAAGAAATGAAACAATGTTCTAAATTAGCGAGTTCGCAAACTGTTGTGGCAAACTATTGATCTTGCCAAGAAGTTCTTTCACGTTGTGGCAAACTGTTGCGGCAAACTATTGATTTCCAAGAATCGAAGTCCTGTCCATCTGCAGCGCAAACATCACAATATCAAACTCCTAACCCCTGCTAATTTTTTCACATCTATTCAACAGCAGAAGCACAAAGCAGAAGCACAAAGATATAAGTACCTCTTGGAAATTTAAACTAGCAAGGATCATCATCATCATCAGCATCAGCATCAGCATCATCATCATCATCATCATCATCATCAGGAATCTCACTATCATCACCTACTGGATTAGTAGGAGGTACAGGAGGACCGTCATCAGCTTCGAGGTTAAGGTGTTGCATGATCAATTGCAAACGTTGGTTCACTCCTTTCATTTCTTCGTCCTTCTGTACAAGTAATTGTTTCATTTCTTCGTCTTTCTGTACAAGTAACTGTTTCATTTCTTCATCCTTCTGTACCAGTAATTGTTTCAAGCGGTTCAATTCTTGGTCCGTTCGCTCCTCATGTTGTGCCCTTAAAAAAGCCGCACTGGAGGATGAAGTTGCAGCAGCCGGCATTCTGTACATCCTTGACAAGGATCCCATCCCAAATATTTGACCTCTTCTCATTCCACCCGATGCCTCCATCCATAATGCCATACTGTCAACCGATGGCTCGGACGCAGCAGCACTATCACCATCACCATCACCATCACCATCACCATCACCATCACCACTAGCAGCAGCCGTGCTCATTACAAGTTCATCATATTTGTCCTACATTAACAATATTAATAAAAATTTAAAAAAACTTCATATATATAAATACAAAATATAACCTTACATACCTTAATAACTTTTGCTCGATTGCCGGTCCATGTCTTATCTTTTTTCTGAAAGGTGCGTTCAAATGTAGCCATAAATGTTGGTTCCGTCCCCAATTCATCTGCCCACAAAATATAAACATAAATGAAATGAGTAATTATTGATTTAACTTTACAACATGTTTAAAAGACTTACCATTCTTTTTCTATGCTCCCCGATATTAATAGAGCCCCCAGCATATGTGGCAGACCCTTCACTAGAACTAGAAGCTCGATTCTCGCTTATTAATTTCACTCGATTTGCTTATGCTTTTCGGTGTCCCAAATTCTTTTGATTTCCGCCCAATTGTCAGCTGTAATAAAATCCGGCTTTTCTTGTCTTCTCTTTGCTCTATTCATCACATTTCGCATGTGATCACCGGCTTTCTTCTTAAAAATTCTTTTAACTTCTTTCTCTTCCGCTTCATCCCACCTGAACTTCCGCTGCAAGCAATCAATAGAAAAATAATTGTACGCTCAGTATGCTAAATCGAACTTAGTTTGTGAGGAAATAAAAGGACAAAACTTACCTTGAACTCATTCCACCACAATTCCTTTACTTCTTTTGGAGCAGTGGTCCAACTACTAAACTGCCCCATCCAATAGTTATCGATTATTTTATTAAGTCTCCTCACAACACGCGTAGAATCCGTGAATCTGCAAACGGGTTATAACTTATTTCAACATACGTAGCATCCGTAAAGCATACAGACAATTCAGTTGACATCCATAATAATTCACATATATTTAAAAAAATGAAATACTTACGAATCTCCAAATGGGGCTATCATGAATCGGGTATCTTCTTCATAATTCGAGTGTTGCGTTGAAGAAGAAGGTGGAACCGAAGGCGATGGAACTGAAGTAAATTCAGTTCGCATTTGAGGGTCGGAGGAATGGCCAATGTGTCCATGTACTAGTTGAGGGTTAGATAAAAGGGCAGGGGCAGGGGAAGCGGAAAGGGATGGGGATGAGGACGAGGAAGAGGAAAGGCCTGATCTTCTTTGTGAAGCATCATCACGACGCATGTGACCTCCACGTTTATACTAAAAGGTGCAAGGTTAGACAAAAATAAAGAAAATTATGAACATATATTAAGGACACATAATGACATACGTCGTGAAGCTTACCATTTTGTTATTGAGAGCAAGAGAGATGGCCCCTGAAAAAAAGGAAGCTGTCCGGAAATGTCTACGAGCTAAATTTCTGGTCCTACAACGGTAAAAAAGGAAGAACTCATCTAGCTAGTCAGGGTCATCAAATTTTCAGTTAATTTCTGTAATTCGACTTGTTTTAAAATTTAATTGCATGTTTTGAAAGCCTTAGAACTTAATAAGTTACACTTTCACAAAAAATTTTATGATGCAAGTAAATCACTAAGTTCTGTTCAAAATGAATATATCAACTTCAACAAGAAAATCAATAAATTTTTACCTCGAAGGGAGCCACTCCAGAAAACGCAAATGTGACGGAAATAGTTTTACCCCGATGGCCAAAGCTTCAACCTAGGCCAAAAAAGGTTTGGAAATAGTTTTCAAACCTAGATAATGATAAAATGACTCCGAAACGAAAAAAAAAAAAAAAAAAAAAGCGAAAATGTCACGGAAAACACTATTCACCAGAATCATTTTTTGCCAAAAAACCCATCTAAACGACTCCAAAAAGCCAAAAAATGGCTTGCGTCATAGCCCTAGGCGGTGAATTTCGATCAGCGGGCCGTTTCCACTTGACCGATCAAATTTCAGCTCATTCTGACAACATTTCACCTTATTTCAACCAAATTTCAAATGAATTTCAACTAAATTTCAACTAAATTTCAACCTAAATATGAGAAATTGATTATGTTTCGTTCTGTTTCGTGGGCGAACGAAACAGATTGGGTCTGTTTCGCCCACGAACAGAATCAAATTCGTGGGCGAAACAGAAACAGAACCATTCTGTTTCGCCCACGAATAGAATCAAATTCGTGGGCGAAACAGAATGGTTCTGTTTCTGTTTTGCCCACGAATTTGATTTTGTTCGTGGGCAAACAGACCCAACTGCTTTCGCATGTAAGCCAACACAACACCCAACACAGAAAGCCAACACGTAGCGTGCCGGGCACGTAAGCGCCCACGAAACTGGTTTGTTTCGCACACGAATAGAACCAAATTCGTGGGCGAAACAGACCCAATCTGTTTCGTCCACGAACGAGCGAAGCGGACCCAACACGAAACGAAGCGGAAGTAGAAACGGAGCGGGAAGCGAAGCGGCCCAACACGGAAGCCCGGCCAACACAGGCAGACGCAGACCCAACACAGAAGCCAGCCAACACAGAAGCTTAGCAGAAGCAGAAGCAGAAGCATAGAAGCAGAAGCACAGAGCAGAAGCAGATCCAAACGTAGACCCAACACATACATTGAACAGAAGCATAAGCATAAGCAGACGCAAACGCCAAGAAATAACGGCGAAAAGCAGACCCAACAGAAGCATACCAAATGTAAGCGAGGCCAACACTCTCGGGCGCCGCCGAAGAACCCAACGAAAGCGTGACCGCGCGGCCGGGTGTCCTCGCTTCCCGCCGTCGCGCCGAAGAACCCAACGAAAGCGCACCGCGCGGCGGGTGTCCTCGCTTCCTGGCGTCCGCCGCCGAAGAACGCCAAGAATCGCGCCGAAGAACTGCAACAGAGACAGAGAAAGAGGGAGAAGACAGAGACAAACAAGATAGGTTCGCTCGTGAGAACAGAAAAGAAGAACCCTAATTTGTACCCGCTCATGAAGACGACGCCGTTTGGTGAATTTTCGCTGAAATTAACTACGAATTTAAAATCGTGGCTAAAATCGTGGCAAATTAGCCACGGATTGGAAATCGTGGCTAAATCCGTGGCAAATTAGCCACGGATTTAGCCACGATTTCCAATCCGTGGCTAATTTGCCACGATTTTAGCCATGAATTGTTATTATATCGCGGCAAATTCGAATCGAAATATAAAATTGTCGCGGTAATTTTGGGGTCTTTTTCAAATTCGTGGCTAAAATCCGTGGCAAATTTGCCACGGATTTTTGCCACGAATTTCCTCAAAAAGCTTGCACAAGATTTTTTTTTAAAAAAAAATCCGTGGATAAAATCCGTGGCAAATTTGCCACGGATTTTTGCCACGGATTTCCTAAAAAAGAATACAATAGAATTTTTTTTTTTAAAAAAAATCCGTGGCTAAAATCCGTGGCAAATTTGCCACGGATTTTAGCCACAGATTTCCTGAAAAAAGAAAAGAATACAATATTTTTTTTTTTAAAAATCCGTGGCAAATTTGCCACGGATTTTAGCCACGGATTTCCTAAAAAAGAATACAATATATAGTTTTTTTAAAAAAATCCGTGGCTAAAATCCGTGGCAAATTTGCCACGGATTTTTGCCACGAATTTCCTAAAAAGGAATACAATATAAATTTTTTTTTAAAAAAATCCATGGCTAAAATCCGTGGCAAATTTGCCATGGATTTTTGCCACGAATTTCCTAAAAAAGAATACAATATAATTTTTTTTTAAAAAAAATCCATGGCAAAAATCCGTGGCAAATTTGCCACGGATTTTTGCCACGAATTTCCTAAAAAAGAATACAATATAAATTTTTTTAAAAAAAATCCGTGCCTAAAATCCGTGGCAAATTTGCCACGAATTTTTGCCACGAATTTCCTAAAAAAGAATACAATATAAATTTTTTTTAAAAAAAATCCGTGGCAAATTTGCCACGGATTTTTGCCACGAATTTCCTAAAAAAGAATACAATATAATTTTTTTTTAAAAAAAATCCGTGGCTAAAATTCGTGGCAAATTTGACACGGATTTTTGCCACGGATTTTTGCCACGAATTTCCTAAAAAAGAATATAATATATTTTTTTTTTAAAAAAATCCGTGGCTAAAATCCGTGGCAAATTTGCCACAGATTTTAGCCACGGATTTCCTGAAAAAAGAATACAATAGATTTTTTGTTTAATAAAAAATTCTGTGGCAAATTTGCCACGGATTTTTGCCACGAATTTCCTAAAAAGAATACAATATAATTTTTTTTAAAAAAAAATCCGTGGCTAAAATCCGTGGCAAATTTGCCACGAATTTCCTAAAAAAAGCCTAAATCATGCGTACGGCCTTTGTTTATGAAATCCGTGGTAAATTGCCACGGATTTTTGCCACGAATTTCTTAAAATTAATTTTTGGCTTTTCATGAAAAATTACTTAGCCTTGTGAGTGGGATTTTTTCATGAAATTCGTGGCTAAATTTCATGGCAAATTTTCCACAGATTTTAGCCACGAATTTCATTTCTACTATCCCACACTCGCGTAATTCATTTTTTTTTTTCCAGACAATGACGTTTCATTAACAATAATAGCAATAATAATATTCAACAACAATTACAATAATAATAATAATAATAACTACCACAACAACAACAACAACAATACTAATAATTACGGCAACAACAACAATAATAAATATGACAACAACAATAAACTTTGTCATAATAATAATAATAATAATAATAATAATAATAATAATTACGACATAATTAGTAAAAAGTCTCAAAAATCTAAATCTTCGTCTTCACCTTCGTCTTCATCTTGATCTTAATCTTCTTGTTCAGCATCATCGTCATCATCGTCGTCGTCGTCATCGTCATCATCATCGTCATCGTCATCGTCATCGTCGTCGTCATCATCATCATCATCATCATCCTCTGTCTGAAAATCAGCTTCTGCAACACCTTCTAAATTTGATTCGCGAATTTCAGTTAGATCTACATCTATCATTGCTCCACATGGATCTCGTAGAGTAGGAATGTTATATTCCTCAGTTTGAACTGCATTATAAACTTCCTCTTGTTGATATGCTGTATCCTTCCAGTGTTCCTCGATTTTTCTTCGTGCTTTGGTTTTACATACAGCCCACCAATCAGCTTTGTCACGTTTCAAACTAGGATATGATGCATAATATACTTGAATTGCTTGTTGTGCCAACACAAATGGTTCATATTTCTTATACATTTTCTTGTGATTTATTTCAACCAAATTAAACTTCGTATGTACCTTCGTTCCTTTGACGG